AGCAGAAAAAGAGGAAACATTACCTCAACTTATTTTATAAAATTTGTATTTTTTCCCCAAATCAGAAAAAAAACTCATGCATATAAAAATAGAAGCAAAAGTCTTAACAAAATATTGACAAACTGAATTATATATAATGCAATCCTACATAATATATATTATATCACAATCAAGTTAGGTTTATTCTAGGAATGCAAGGTTAGTTCAAACTCAGAAAAAAATCTATTAATGTAAGTGATTTAACAGATTAAAGAGGGGCAATTAATCATCATAGAGATTCAGGAAAAGCATCAATGCGATTTAATATACAATAGACTAAGAGAAGAAAATCTTCTAGTTTGATAAAAGACGTTTACAAAAAAAGACAGTAAATATCCAATGTTGAAATACTACAAATTATTCCCTTTGACATTAGGAACAATTCAAGAACCTTTATCCTTGCTTCTATTCAATATTGTTTTAAGAGTCCAGAAAAAAAAATGAAAGATATAAAGATCGGGCGGGGAGAAACAAAATTGTTACTATGTGTAAATCATATAATTGTATGCTCAGACCACCTAAAAAACTTTACAGATGTATTATTAACATAGAGCTTCTAGCCAGCTTACTAGGTATATCAATTCGTACTCTATATACCAATAACAAACATTTAGCATTTTAAACTTTTTAAAACAACCATTTACAATATGAAGGAATATGTACAATACTAAGACATAAATATGAAGAAGATGGGCAATATTTTTCTGCAAAAATATTCTACAAATATATATTATAAGGATGTTTTAAATATCTAACAAAATGGAGAAATATACTAACTTCAAAGATCAGGGGACTCAATTTTGCAAAGATGTCTGTTCCTAGAAAATTGATTTATAGTATTAACAGAAAAACTTCAGACCAATTAAGTTTTGCAGAATTTATTTGAGCAAAGAACATTTCATGAATCAGGCAGCATTCAGAACCAGAAGAGGTTCAGAGAGCTCTACCCAGGAACATGAGCTATGAGCTTCCATAGACTGAATATGGAAGCCAAGTAGAGAAACCATCTGAATCGCTACAGCTAGGAATTTGCCTCATTTTCACATGATCTAATCAGTTTGGCTACCTGTGATTAGCTGAAACCCAGTCATTTGTTAGAAAAGAATGTTGAGTTTGTGCACACACTAAGTTAGATTGTAGTTTGTTGCATAGGAACTCAAGGTATAGGGACAGCCTCAGTTTAATGGCCTCCTGCTTATTTAATTTATCAATGATTTCATGAATTACTAATCTAAATCCTGATTTTTCCTGGCAATTGACAAACTAATTCTAAAATTTATATGAAAGAGTAAAAATCTTATGGTCATTAAAACACTCTCGAAGAAGACAAAGTAGGTAGAGAGATTTCCTCAGCCAGATATCAAGACTTACTATAATGCAGTAGCAATTAAGATAATGTAGCCTATCTTAATAGGACAGACAAACAGACGAAAGGGACAAACTGAAGAGCCTGTGCACATATGGCATCTTGATATTTGTGACAAGCAACATTGCAGAGGAAAGATTGGGTTATTCACAGTGTGGGACTCTTGGATCGCTCCATAAAAATTTATATTGTCTCTCTATCTCATAACTTAATCAAAAATGAGTTATTGACACACCAAGGATTTAAATGGGAGAAGCAAATTTTTCAAACTTTTAGGAGAATATCCCTATTCATTAAAAAAACATTGGAAGTATTTTGGGTAAAGGGCCATGATTTACTTACTTTACCAATAAAAGTTTCAAGAAAGAGATTTTCAAAAAGTGAGAGAGAAGCTGGGCATGGTGGCTCATGCCTGTAATCCCAGCACTTTGGGAGGCTGAGGTGGGCAGATCACAAGGTCAAGAGATCAGGATCTGGCTAACATGGTGAAACCCCGTCTCTACTAAAAAATACAAAATTAGCTGGGCGCGGTGGCATGCGCCTGTAGTCCCAGCTACTGGGGAGGCTGAGTCAGGAGAATTGCTTGAACCCAGGAAGGGGAGATTGCAGTGAGCCAAGATTGTGCCACTGTACTCCAGCCTGGTGCCTGGTGACAGAGCAAGACTCTGTCTCAAAAAAAAAAAAGTGAGAGAGAGAGAGAATGCAAAAGAAAATGGTAGTAAAATGTAAATAATATGTGCATCTGGGAATAGGGTATACTAAGGTCCTTTGTACTATTTTTATCTTTTTCATTTATCTGTTGGCTCAAAGGGGTTTCAAAATAAAAGGGTGTATACAATTTTAGTCCTACAGGACTGGCAAATATTAAAAATCTTGGCACCACCAAGTATTCATAAAGACGTGAAGCAACAAGATGTCTCCTATGCTGATGAGCAGCAGAAATCAGTACAACCTTTGCCATCGCCTATGTGAATTCACCCTTCAATTCTAATCCTAGATATTTATGGATACTAGCAAAATTCTTGCATATGTAAACAGGTGATAAGTATAAGATTATTTGTAACAGAAATTGCTTATCATAAATAAAAAGACTGAAAACAACCTGAAATTTCCATCAACAGTGAAAGGAAGAAGTACCAGTGGCACATTCATAGAATGGAATGAATATTAAATGACTACATATGGCAATATGGATGAGTCTAAATAGTGTAGAAAAGAAGAAAGACCCTGAAGAATTCAAGCAGCTGTGAAAAGATGAAACTTTGAAAAATGAGGAGTGAGTCAGACAAAGCAAGGAGAGGTCATTCCAGCCAGAGTCCAGGAACAGCGTGACCGGTTTGGGAACTGCACACGCACAACCCCTCCCCCAGGACATGTTTCCCCAGTGTGGAGCTCGATCTGTGTGGACTAAGTTACTCTGTGTCTCTAAGATCACAATGGGAATTATGAATGGAGTTCTTAAAAATTAGAGTTTTTGTGTCCAGAAAGAAAATTCTATCTGCTTGCCCAACCATGGACTATAGCAGGGTTTAAAATTTGTATTCAAGTTATTGAAGCTATACATTAAGAATCTCTATTTTTGGTGGTTCTCCACCGCCTGTGTCGCTTCTCACACACTGAGCTCCAGCCAAAGAAGAGGGGTAAGTAAGAAGGTCTCTATATCATGGCTTGTCCAAAGCAGACTGCCCGCAAATCTACCAGTGGTAAAGCACCCAGGAAGCAACTGGCTACAAAAGCCGCTTGCAAGAATGCGCCCTCTACTGGAGGGGTGAAGAAACCTCATCGTTACAGGCCTGGTACTGTGGCCCTCAGTGAAATTAGACATTATCAGAAGTCCACTGAACTTCTGATTCGCAAACTTCCCTTCCAGCATCTGGTGCGAGAAATTGCTCAGGACTTTAAAACAGACCTGCCCTTCCAGAGCGCAGTTGTCAGGGCTTTGCAGGAGGCAAGTGAAGTATATCTGGTTGGCCTTTTTGAAGACACCAACCTTTGTGCTATCCATAACAAAGGCGTAACAATTATACCAAGACACGCAGCTAGCACGCCGCACACATGGAGAACATGCTTAAGAATCCACTATGACGGGAAACATTTCATTCTCAAAAAAAATTTTTTCTTTTCTTCCTGTTATTGGTAGTTCTGAATAGATAATTTTTTTCCATGGGGTCAAAAGGTACCTAAGTATATGATTGTGAGTGGAAAAATAGGGACAGAAATCAGGTATTGGCAGTTTTTCCATTTTCATTTGTGTGTGAATTTTTTATATAAATGCAGAGATGTAAAGCATTAATGCAGGTTAAAATGTTTCAGTGAACAAGTTTCAGCGGTTCAACTTTATAATAATTGTAAATAAACCTGTTAAATTTTTCTGGACAATGCCTGCATTTGGATTTTTTGAAAACAAGTAAATTTCTTATTGACGGCAACTAAATGGTATTTGTAGTATTTTTATCATACAGTAGATTCCATCCACTCACTATACTTTTCTGAGTTGTCCTACGTGCAAGTACATGTTTTTAATGTTGTCTGTCTTCTGTGCTGTTTCTGTAAGTTTGCTATTAAAATACATTAAACTTAAAAACAAATTTCTATTTTTATGAACATTTAAAGTCAGTTTCCAAATCCTGTTTCTTCTGGACACTATTTTATGAACCACTAGAAATTCTGTGTAAGTAAATTGCTTGTTGGGAATAGATGCAAGGGGAGAAAAGTGAGGTTAGAAGGCAAATTAAAGAGGTAAAAGAGTTTGGAAAGACATAGAGATGTTTACAATAAACTCCCCTTTAGGCATCCAGGTAGAAAAAATGACATTCTATGTATGTACCTGCTGTCCGATGATATCCCAAGGAGGGAAGAAGCAAAGATGAGTAAAAGGCATGCTTCGATGTGAAGATTACGAAGACAGAACAAAGGCTATGCTAATCTGGATATTGGAGAGGGATTTTAAAAATCAATGACAACTTACTTAAGGTTTCCCCTTAGCTTTTTCTATCTCAAGCACCTAAGTTACTCTGTATCTCTGATATCACAACGGGAATTATCAATGGACTTCTTAAAAACGAGAGTTTTTATGTCCAGAAAGGAAGATTCTGCCTGCTTGCCCAATCACTGACGGTAGCAGGGTTTCACGTTAGGGTTCATGTTATTAAAACTGTAAACTAAGAAAATCTCCATTTTCCTGAACACTTAAATTAGGTTTGCAAATCTTCTTCCTTTTTTATTTAGGAATACAGCAATTGTCCAAAAATAAGAAGAGCTATTTTCACGTTTCTTGACAAATGTTTAAATTAGTTCATAAGTTAAAAACCAGGTTTTCTCTCTTAAATAACTGACAAAATTTTCTTAAACACTTTGAACTACAATTAGGCATTTAATATATCCGAATTGCTCAAATGCCTATCATGCAGATTTAATAAATTTAATGAGAACATTCCTTCCTAGCATTCAATCTATTATAACTTTAATAAACTTTAAAACATAATGAAGTCAATTACTTTACTCTCACATATCTTAAAATCAGATAAGGCATATTTAAAGTAGTATAGTAAATGACAAAACTTATTACATTCATACAGTCCCTACAAATACATACCTTACATAACAATAGCAATATTACATCAGAGTTTTTATTCTGGCTTTACCAACTTGCCCAGTGAAGACAAGCATCAGCACCTCTGGCTGGCCACAGGAGCTGGGATGCGTCCACTTAGAGATTTTGACATTGGACTGGCCCCTGCTGACCGGATGATACTGCACAAGCCACAGGCCAACAAACTGAGCCCTGGTTTAAACTTAGACTCTGTCTTCTTACCCAATCACTTGCTGAAATACTTTGAAAACGCTTTTCTGCATAGCCACACTCCTCTCCAATTCCCTGCCCCACCCAGATTGCAACACTTTTGTGTCTTTTCATTTGTGAAATTCTGTACCCTTTAATATTTTAGTTTGACATTTGTTTTATCGTTTCTATAATCATTTGTTTATACAAGGCTAACTCAGAGGGGGGAATTCATGTTCTGAATTAGAAATTCACAAAGGCATTAGACACTTGTCTAAAGGATGAGCCGGAGATAAAATTTATTCTTAGACTATAAAGTATCTAAAACGAAAAAGAAAATTTACAAACATCTTGAAGTTACGGGTGAGGGAGTTTCCAATTGTTTCTGACAAGCAGGGGTTGACAAATAAAAAACACTTCAGTGCTGGTTGCTAGCTTAAGACGTGCAAAATGTCACTGCATTTGTGTCGAGCTAATGCAGACCTCGCCGGAGGTACACAGATGTTGTTACAGTAATAGCAATAATCCATGTAATCACTTATTACCCCTACCTGTTTGTGCAAGACCTTGGGCACCTCTAAATTCCATCCAAATATTTCCTGGGGTCCCCCAAAAATGTCTCACATGTTTTCATAAACAAAATTACTCATGCAGTTGAGGCAACATTTTTCTTTTTCAGAGATAGGATCTCATTCTGTTGCCCAGACTGGAGTGCAGTGGTGTGAGGATAGCTTACTGCAGCCTCGACCTCCTGGGCTCAAGCCCTCTGAGTAGCTGGGATTACAGGCATGAGTCACTGTGCCCAGTCCTAACTTACTTTAAACATTTCTCAATGACCTAACCCCAATGTGCTTCAGACCCCAGGTGACATGGTTTCATTCTGCAAGGAGGTTTCCAGATTAGAATCCCTCTGGGTGCAGAATTTGGGAAAATAGTTTGGGGAAATGATTCTTTTGCCTTTTAGCTTTGCAGGGATTTGGCTAAGGTGAGAGATAAATAGGGTAGGCAGGGACTGGGAAGGGAAATACAGAGAAGAAAAATGTAAGAGATAATAAGCACCAGAATTCACACACTAAGATGACACCCTATGATGGAGTGTGGTGTGGGGATTAAAGAGGAGTCAAAGTTAAATTAGAGTTTCTCCACTGTTGCCAAGACAGTAAATAACAAAGAGGGAGGATGGATTGTACACAGGAGAAAGATAAGAACTTTTCTCTTAACTTCCTTCATGTATTTCGGCATGTCTTCACACAAACCTCACCTAGACATTTGAGAAGGAAATGTACTTGCGGTTCTTTAGTTGACATCTATTTTCTCATGTGTATTTTCCAAGCTTTGTAGCCCTAAGATAAAGCCAAAACAATGTTCTGTTTATAAGCGTTGTAGTTATTCAACTCCATTTTCTCTTTTGGGAAATGTGAGTTCCATTGGGATTAGAAGATTGTCCCCAAAAATGTTTTCACAAGGATATTTGAGGATGCTTTTTTCATAATGAAAACAAATCGAAACAAATGTCCACCAGTGAGTGAACTGGCTAAATTAAGATCTGTAAAGATGATGAAGTCATTGAGAATGATCCATTCATTCATTCATTCATTCAACATATTATTTTTTTGAGTGGTTACTGTATGTCAGGCACTATTCCAATTTCTTCAGAGGTAAACAAAGGGGGCAAAATGTTCTGCTTGATCTTACATTCTAGTGGAGAGAGAGTGTAAACAAAATAAGTAAGGGAAATATATTATATGTTAAATATCGGGAAGCACTATGGATAAAAATAAAGCAGAGAAGGGGACTAGAAGGATGCCATTTAAAACAGGGAGATGAGATAGACGAAATACTTCGCATTTGAGTAAAAACGTGAAGAAGAAAAGGGAGAGCCGCATGGATACCAGGATAAGCTGCCTTCTAGGCTTATGGAACAGTAGACGCAAGGGCGCTGAGGCACGAGCAAGCCAGATGTGCCCAGGCACAGAAAGGAGACTGGTGGAATAAGAAGAGAAAGTGAGAAGCAGAGAAGTAAACTAGAGGAGCAATAAGATCAGAGATGCCAGGTTACGAAGGGTTTGTCACAGACTTTAGCTTTTATTCTAAGTGACACAGGAGATCTTTGGGTGATTCTGAGCAGACAGGAGCCATGATCTATTTATGTTTTACAGGATCCCTCTGGCTCCTTCGTTAAGAATGGGTAGAAAGCGCTGGGCATGGTGCCTCACACCTCAATGTCAGCACTTTGGGAGGCCGAGGTTGGAGGATCACTTGAGGCTAGGAGTTTGAGACCAGCCTGGTCAACCATCTCTACAAAAAACAAAATTTTGTTTTAAAGTACAGCTAGAAGGAAGATAAAGGCAGTAGAAAGGTTACCAGTGAGGAGGCTATTAGAATAACCCAGGTGAGAAATGATGATTCAGAGTGGTAGCCATGAAAGTGATGCAGTACACGTAGGGTCTGGACGCATTTTGAAGGTAGAGTAGATGGAATTTGCTGACACATTGGATTACAGGTGTGAGAAAAGAGTAAGGAGGGGGAAAAATGACTCCAAGTTTTTTGGCCTAAGCAACTGGAGAGGTGGAACAGCCATTAACCAAAATAGGAATTCTGCAGGAAAAACAAGTTCCATAAGTTCCATTAGGTTAAACTCTAGTGCTGCTTTCGCAGGTTCAAAACATTTGAATATCAGTCTTTTCATATAGTTTAACCTAACATAAATGTAAATGTGTTGACATAGAAAGATATCCCGGAAATATTTTTGAATGGAAAAAGGAGGATACAGAATTGCAAAAAATATATAATTCTACTTACAAAAAATTAAGAGTATGTGGGGGACCCAAACAGTTGCTCTGTGAAGATTTGGCTTGATGCGCTCAAGAACCTTAAAAGTACCCAGGCTTTGTGGTGCTCTGGGGTCGCAGAAGTAGCCTGCTGCCTTCCATAAGACTGTCATTGACCTCTTGCTTGAAGACACTTCAGGATCCTCTAACTCAAAGATAGCACGTGAGCCTCTCAGGATCTACCCTCATCTGTCTGCCTGGAAATCATACCAATAACTAGGATCAGGTCACGTAAGCCAGCATGGGAAGTGCTGAGCTTGTTCAGACAGGACAGGGTCTCTATACTTTAAAAAACCCACAGGAGCTGACGAGTGCTAACTAGAGCTAGGGATTGGGGGGCATGCATGGAACTGGATTCCAAGGTGCTGGGTTAAGGAATACAAGATAAACTCTGATCAAGGAGGGAGGGCTCATTGATAAGGGAGCATCGTCTTGTAATTCAAAGTTCAGCACTCTTGCAAGGATTCCAGAAGTTGATGCTGACATGCTGCTAGGAGGCTCTCTGCCTCTGGGAAAACACATTTGCAATAAATGAAGGAGAAAAGCCAGACCTGCCGCAGCAAACGGTGAAGGGGAGAAGAGGCTTGTAGAGGTGAGCATGCCAGAATGGATTTTCCATATGTAGACAAAAAGCCTGTTCACCTGAGCAGCAAGGACAGAGCTGTTCAGAAGGGAGCAAGCCTCACTAAGAAGCTCAGTGGCAAACCCAGCAGCAATATGCTGTAAGACGGAAGTGGTACAGCAGGATCAGAGCACTCAAAGCTGCATGAAGAGGTGACCCAACCCCATCTGACATCCAACAGTGCCGCACATGCACTCTCCCTGAGCTCACCAATTGGACTGCATGGGGGAGGGGGATCACTTATGAGCAGCTCAGGGAAGCTGAGCAGGGCTCACCAATGGATGGTTTTTAGCAAATGTGAGGTAAAAATGGGTGACTGCTGTGTCACAGCCCCTCTCACAAATGGCTCTGAAAGCAGCAGTAGGGAGGGATCTCCCAGTGGGCAGAGCTTTGGGCAGCACACTTAATCATCCATGATGTGGTGAGAGAGTGGCTTGAGTCACAGTGATAGGTGGCATCATGAACGGTAATAAACCACATGACTGGTTGGTTGGATCTGTCAAAATAAAGTTTAGAAGGTCAGAGACAAGGGGGTCTGGAGAAGAGGCACCATTAACATGGTGCCCATGTTAATGTCCATCACAGAACATTCATCATAGAAGACTCATTAAACAACCAAGGAGATGGAATGATTTGACCCATTGACAACAGCCAGCTTCTGTCATCAGTTATGCCAAGTGTTGGCACAATGGGCTTATGGGCAGAGACTATGGGGGCAGGCATGGAGGCTATATATGGGCCCAACAGTGCTGCTATTGTTGCAGCCAACCTTATAGGGAAAAAGCCAATACTGAGCCCTCAATTTGGCACCATCCCTCAAAGAGATCAGCCACTTGGTGACAAGTTGACATCACTGGACCATTTCTACCCAGGAATAAGCAGTCATTCATATTGACTGAGCGCAACTATGTATTTCAAGTACAAGTTTGCTCTCCCGCCTGCCAAGCCTCAGCCATCACCACGATCACAGGCCTTACCGAACGTTGGACCAATTGATATGGGATCTTGCTTAACATCATCTTGGGCAAGGGTCTTACTATGCAGCAAAGCAAGTATAGCAGGGGGCACATAACCACGGGATCCACTGGTTCTGTCACATACAGTACCACCTAGAAAATTTGTGCCAGATAAAAAGTAAACAGCTTTTTGAAGGTGCAGCTGAGGCACTAGCTTAGAAGTGACACTCTGCAAGTATGGAACACTCTTCTCTGGAATGTTGTACACATGCTAAATCAATAAATATGACTGAGCCATGTCCCCTGATGTAATCTATAACACAGGTCCAGGAACCAAGGGGTGGAAGTAGAAGCAGCTCTGTTTATCACAACTCCAGCATGGGGACTTGAAACTTCCCGTCCCTGCAACACTTGGCTCTGTGGTCTATAGATCCTGGTTCCCAGAGGGCAAGGCTTCCACCAGGTAACAAAGTCAGAATCAGTTAACCGTAAACTGTAACTGCCACCCAGTTACTTCAACAGCCTCATGATAAGAGACCAGCAGACAGGGAAAAGGTCATCATACTTGATGCTGTAAATCATCTCGGTAAAGTGACCCAGATTATCAGAGGTGGGACTGAAAGGATACAATATGGCAGGAAGGAATATTTTGGGCACCTGAGTGATACAATGAAGCATCTCTTTATACTTCCTGGCCTATTTTAGTGATAAATGGGCAAATTCCCCAGCCACAGCCTAAGCAGGGAATTGTGGCCAGGGGCTCAGACCTTTCAGGAATGAAGTCTGCTCATACCAGACAACCCACCTCAACCAAGGGAGAAGGGAATCAAAAATGGGTCATAGGAGAGACAATTGCATATAAGTTGAAACCTCATGACCAGGTACAATAGCAGGGGCTATAGTTTTATCCTAATAACCTACCTGTGGCAGATTTATCCAGGAACCCTGGAGGAGCTTATCCCAGTTGGGATAAACTTACTATATGAAGAAAGTGGCCCCAAATGGTGGGAGGTGTGGACTCCAGTGGCTACTGTGGTGCACTGCTCAGATCCCCCTGGATGAGGCATTTGCTTCTGGCTGTCAGGAGCATTGGCTGCCAAGAGCTCACAGTTGAACCTCCACAGGAAAAGTTCTCAGCAGATGGAAGCTGCTTTGCCCAAGGTTATGCCTCCTGCTGCAGACACAGGAGCAACCCACATCCAATGACTAGTAGATGATGCAGAGTATAAGGCCCACTCCCCTTGCCTCAATTTGAGCTAAATCTGAAGGGACAGCCCGGCTCCAGAAAACATGGGATCAACTGAGACCTCTGTTGTAGCTGTATTGCAACTTCACTTCTGCCTTTCCCAGCCCTGCTTCATTTATTTCCTTACAGATGCTGTTTCCAAGAGTGCTTCCTCATGATCCTCCCACATGTAAATCTCCATCTGCTGTGGTTTAAATGTATCCCCCAAAGTGCATGTGTTGGAAACTTAATCCCCAATGCAACAGTGCTGAGAGATGGGACCTTTAAGAGGTGATTAAGTCATGAGAGCTCTGCCCTCATGAATGGATTAATGCTGCTATCATGGGAGTAGGTTCATTATTGTGAGAGTGGGCTTATTAGAAAAGCGAGTTTGGCCCTCTCTTGCTTGCTTTCTCCCATGTGTTCACATTCTCTTGCCCTTCTGCTCCTGCCATGGGATGACTCAGCAAGAAGGCCCTCACCAGATGCCGGCCCCTCAATCCTGGATGTTCCACCTTCAGAACTACAAGAAATAAGTTTCTGTTCTTTCCAAAATACCCAGCCTCTAGGTGTCCTTTTATAGCAGCCCAAAACAGATTAAGACACCATCTCTGCGCCTTTTTACAGAAAACGGTGCCTGAGATACTGCAGCATTTCAATTTTGGAAGAAGATGGGGAAAGAGAAGCAACAGCTTCTGCTTATTTTTGTTTCCTCACCCTGTCCCTTCACTCTTTTCTCCTATAAAAATTGCATCATCTTCTCCTCATCTATATATTTTGCTATTCCAAAATAAAAGTAAAAGCCAAAGCCACTCCAGACTCTTGTCTTAATTCTAGTATATTCGTTATCTAGGCAGCAATGAGCAGGGGCTAACGTCTCTCAAAGTGTGTCTCAGCTGTCTCATTCCAGGATCACACTTTTCTCTGCACAGAGAGCTTCTTGGGAAAATGTGAATAAGAAGGAACTCTGTTCTTGCCATTTCAACTTTGGACCATGCAGCAAACATTTTTTTATCCCACTACCAGGTTAAAATCACACCAATCAGCAAAGACCTGGAATCAACCCAAATGCCCATTGATAATAGACTGGATTGGAAAAATGTGGCACATATACACCATGGAATATTATGCAGCAATCAGAAATGATGAGTTTGTGTCGTTTGTAGGGACATGGATGAATCTGGAGAACATCATCCTCAGCAAACTGACACAAGAACAGAAAATGAAACACCGCATATTCTCACTCATAGGCGGGTGATGAAAAATGAGAACACATGGACACAGAAAGGGAAGTACTAAACACAGGGGTCTATTGGGGGGAAAAGGGGAGGGCCAGTGGGAGGGGGAGGTGGGGAGGGATAGCCTGGGGAGAAATGCCAAATGTGGGTGAAGGGGAGAAGAAAAGCAAAGCACACTGCCATGTGTGTACCTACGCAGCTGTCTTGCATGCTCTGCTCATGTACCCCAAAACCTAAAATCCAATAAAAAATTTAAAAAATAAATAAATAAATAAAAATAAAATCACACCAATCCAGACAATGTGCAGTTTATTACAACTCTGTTCCCGCTGGGATAACAGAAACAACTAAAGTTATTGTTTTAAATATACTGAAGCCAGGTTTTTTGGGTTATTTTTTGTTAGTACAAGCCAGTAAGACCAACTAGCTCATTTTCTTATCCTCCAGAACAACTGGGAGGTGTTTGAGTTTTTTGTTTTTGCTTTTTAAAATCTCAACTGACTCATTTGGTGGGAACAAATTCACATGTCAGCATGTGGTTTGACCGATATGACCTATCTACAGGGAAGACAAAATAACATTTTCAAATTAAGGTACTTTCAGCACTTATACATTCTTGTTTTAAAAAAACATATACTGACCAGCTCCTAGCCATATAACAAAGAGCATGCGCCTGAGATTGCCACAGTGGAAAGATCGATCAACATCAGTCCCATTATTTGAGTCAGGATAACTTGCTCACATTTCAGTCAGCTTGAGTAAAAGGGAACTTATTGCAAGATGAGAGAAGCATTTCATGAAATTTGAAGATTATACACAGGAAATCAAATCTTTTGGTAACTAAACGCTTGCTCTATTTTTCTCTCCCTTCCCACCACAATGGTCTCTCTGCTTCCTCCTGTGCCTTTTCTCCCTCCTCTGGCTTCCTTTGCAGATTGCCTCTGGCTCCTCTGCTTCCTCACCAGTCCTCATGGCCCAAAAATGCTGCTGCAGCTCAGTCCTCTAGAAGAAATCACCTTTATGGAATAACAGTCTCTTAGCCACTTAAATCAAACTTTTGTGGTTTCTGAGTCCTTCAGATAGAGTCAGATACCCCTGATCTAACCGTTATAAAAGTAAAATGCCCAGCCCCATGGTTCAGCAAAGTCTATGTAGACACTTGTCTAAGGATGGAGATTGACCTTTTCAGGCACCCCAAACATATTTGCAACATTTCTTGGGTATACATTCGAATCCCTTAGCAAATTCTCCCATATTCCTTCTGGCAGGCAATGAGGTGAGAGACGAATTATCCATGTCAGGGAATCTGTGTATCATGTTTGGTTTTATATGGAGGAACCCATAAGAGATGGGACTAATGATCCTGAGGTTCAAGGGATAATGCTTATCTTTAAAAGAAAAGTAAATTGTGGGGAGTAGTTATTATAGTAGTTTTCAATATTTATTTATGTAGAAGCATAATTTATTTTTAACAAGAAACTTATTAGCTAAAACATACACATAATCCCTTTGGCTTAGGAATTTCACTTCTTAGAATGCATACTAAGGAAACAGTCATAACAGTACAGGCACGGTTTGGCTGTGTCCCCACCCAAATCTGGAATCGTGGCTCCTATAATTCCCACATGTCATGGGAGGGACCCAGTGGGAGGCAATTGAATCATGAGGGCAAGTCTTTCTTGTGCTGTTCTCATGATAGTAAATAAGTCTCACGAGATCTGATGGTTCTATAAAGGGGAGTTTTCCTGCACGGGCTCTCTTGTCTTCTGCCATGCATGTGAGATGTCCCTTTGCACTTCCTTTGTCTTCCGCCATGATTGTGAGGCCTCCCCAGCCTTGTGGACCTGTGAGTCCGTTATACCTTTCTTTTATAAAATACCCAGTCTCTGGTATGTCTTTATTAGCAGTGTGAAAACAGACTAATACAAGTTCACAAAATGTTATAAAGAGGTATTCATTATAGATACGTATTAATATAACTGAAAAGAAGCGGCATGTCTATTAATAGGAATCCCAATGAAAAATTTATGTTCTATGCATGTGGTTGGCTATTATGCAGCCTTTAAAAATTATCTTTTTGAAGACTATTTACTAACATAGAAAAATGTTTATAATATGCTAAGGGAAAAAGACAAAATCATATGCATCCTCCTAGTTGTATTTTAAATTATTTATCTATAACACATAAAAAGAAGAAGGCAATATATCAACATGTTAACAGTGATATTTCTGAATGGTGGGGAATGGGTAATTTTTATTTTATTTTTGATTAGTAGTTTATTTTCCAAATTATCTAAGATGGATGCGTATTGCTCTTAAAATTAGTTTCTTCAGCCTTTCACTTCACAACAGTGAGCTCAATAAAATGAACACAAAAGGAGAAAGGAGAGAAGAAAAGATTACTGAACTACCGCGAAACACGACCAGAGTTTACTTTTATTTTTCATCTTTTGTTCTTGTGGGAAGGGCCCACAGAAGCCAACAGTTGTGATGGAGCTCCCACCTGACAGTAGACCCTTTTGCGTCTTTGTTATGAACTACACGTGTCCCAACCTGGTGTTTGTGATCCAGCAGTCACGCGCATTTCTGCTTCCACTAATGCATGGGCGGCTAATTGGGTTTGTAAAAAGGTCACTTCCGCCTTTGATTTTTAATGAAGAGTTTAGCTTATTATAAAAGTGGAGTGTTGACATGCATGGCAGACACTAAAAATATAGTTCCTTTTCAAAATAAAATATTCAGCATTTTGACTGGCTGCAGATTTATTTGGCAATAATTTCTTGGTTAAACTTCCCTGAGGTTTGTTTATATGGCTATTTTGGTTCTTTATTTTAAGTATATCAGCATTTTTCCACAGCTTCAAGCTATTCTCATCTCAGCATGTAGGAAGTTAATAGGTAGCACAGAAGCTCGTTACTGCAGTTCCAGTAAAAACATAATTGGCTCAAGAAGCCAAGGTACTAGCACCATCCTCTCTGCAAGAATGGCCGCGAACTCAAACTCATCACAGCAGTCGGGCCCACTCCAGCCAGTGCCTGTGAATATGGAATAAGGACCACTTGGAATTTTGTGTTTTAGTCTCAAAGCTTCATAAGATTTTTAAAAAATATGCATAATGGGAATGCAATTCCATTTAAGGTGATTCCCCACCTAGATATACACATATTCTGTGGTACCACCATTCTTCAAAACATCTGTGGAATTTCTGTTTTAGAATTGCTTTCAGATAATAGTTTATGGAGAAAGGCATCAGAAAATTAGTCTTGTTCATTTCTAATCACATATGAATGAGATTAAAAAGTTAGATTACTCAACTTATTTACCAGACTGTGCACCAGATGCCTTTTGCATTTTCTAAATAGCAGATTCTCTCGCAAAACCGAAGTTTGCCACCAATAAATCTTTCAAACCACATGCCTTCGTCTAGGATAGAAATTCCAGTAAGAGAATTCCAAAAGGGATTAAATTCATGGCAGAATCATTGGCTGAACTGGGCATTTGGACCTATAAGACCAGGCACACTTAAAAAAATCCAACAAACTATTGAGTGAGTTCCAGGCTCTGTTACAGGGGCTCCAGCAGCTTCAACACTGAATAAATATATCGGATTTAGCCTTTGCTCCTTGACAGTATCAGTCTTAAGAGCATTGACTTGAAGAAGTGATCTAAAATAGTATCTAAGAATTATACTAATTTGAACTACGCCAGTCAGAAAGATATGGAAAAGCTAGAAAGATGGAAAATGTTTAAAGGCCTTTTCTTTGTCTTTCTCTCTCTCTTTTTTTTTTCATATGCAGGACATTGAAACAAAGCAGGAAAGTGCATTTGCATTCAGCTGAATTTAATTTGCATGCCTAGATATCTTCTGGAAATTTGGGAGGCTACCTTAGCTGGAATGTGCAACTGTAGCTACCTACTTACCTCGTCACGATGGTTGTAATGAAATAAAGGGCTAAAACCTTAAAATGCCGTTTGATTTAAATATCTTGACCATCATCAGTAGCAGCGGCAACAATTCTCTCACAGGTTCCATCTCTGAGGAAAAGGCAGGAAGGTCAGTTAAACTTAATTCAGTTCCCATCAACAAATATAATTTGGACACCAGGAATGGTGCCGTGCAAACATGCCCGCTCTCATTCAACTCCTTCAGTTGCAAGGAACTCATCCAAGTCACCTCAAGCATTGGGGTCTTACTGTGGCTATAGTAGGAACGCACACTCTCCCTGCCCCTAGTGTTATCAAACCAAACTAGACTCTACTTGCCCGGCGCAGTAAGACCAGATATCCACACGGAGGTTTGCAGTAGGAGAAAGGAAGCCGCTTATTCGCAGGGTGCTAAGCAAGGACAATTGGCAGTGAATGCTTAAGACGCAAACCTCCAGATGGATTACAGGTAAGAGTTTTTTAAGGCAGGGAGGCAGAGGTTGCAGGCAAAGTCATAAATCAATACATGGATGCTATACATTGGCTTGACCAAAAAAGGCAGGACATCTCCAAGCAAGAGCCCATAGATCATAAGGAATTCAAAGATGTTCTGATTTGCAATTAGTTAAGAAAGCAAAGCGTCATCTAAAAATGTGGGATTAGTAGAATGTTTTGGCCCAGCGGGGTGACCTCCTGCAGGCCCCTCAGGAAGAAATTTAGAACAAAGAGTTTAGTCTTTGGTTCTCCCTTATCTGGAGGAGATCCACTGGGGGGAATGGGGTCCAGGTTTCTGAAAAACAACTAAGGGACATAGGTTACGATGTTGTCTTTAGTTTCTATGGAGGAACCAAACATTTCATGATTCTAACTTCCTTGGATACATTTTAAGCAACTATAACCCTCTTGTCAAGCTGCTCATTTACTTCTCAGGGCTAGCTAGGTGCCTGCAATTTCCCTTGAAGGAACTCAAGATTTTCCTTTAATTACATTCTTATTGTGGGGTTTAGTGGCTACAAGTCCCCAAGAGGGGTCCCTGCTCTGTCTCACTAGCTAAGGACAGTTCTGGAAACTCATCCTTCCCCTTCCACCTGGAGGGCCCTAAGCTTAGTAGAGTCTCAGGCCGAGAGAAATATTCTTGCCCTTGAGACGGCAGTCCTTTGGCAGGCAAAATCTAGAAAGATGAGCAGCTTGATGTTCCCATCTAGAAAATGACCAGCATCTTAACAAAACAGAATAGTCTTGCAGTGAGCTTGTCAAAGTGCTAGTTACATCACAAAGCATCCTCTCATGTTGGGTGGAGCCCATGGTCCCCACTGAGAATTCAAGGACCACCACTCAAAGTGCTTCTCTTATTTTTCAAACCACCCCAAAATTGGGGGTGAGGGACAGTCCGTTGATCCCTAGAAACAAGTACCCTTTTCTCTGTTTCATTTCCCAGGCCCCACTCTTCTCTCATTTAGGTTCTCTTCTCCACTTTAGGTCCATATCAGTCTTTTCTCATAAATGCCATCATTACATCTAAGAAATAAAAGTACCTGACCTTATTGATCACAATCTTGATTTCATCTATTTCTCCTGAGTCCTAACTTTGACCTTCTGAGATGCTGTGTGGCAAGCGTCTCTTACTGTCTTCTGCACTTGCCCCCATCCTCAAATCTCTTTGATGAGTAAGCAGCGCAACTGTTGATACTGAATCTCAGACTAAGGAACACTACTCCTGTAGCCCAGAGTTTTCTCTGTTGAAAGTTATGATCCAATTATTTCCAGCTCTAAATATTATTAACCAATTACACCCAATTGTCTAAAGATTCGTTCCTAAAATCCCATTAATTCAAATTAATTCCTCCCAACTGGTTTGAAAAAAGATGTTTTGCCTCTCATTTGAAATACAAGTTCCTCTCAACACAGAGGCCTGTGAATATGCTATTAGTATATAAATTCGCCTTTTAAGTTGCCATTATATAAATGAGTAGTGGGAGTAACTGAAACTTAGGAATCCATTATAATTGGCATGATTTTGTTCATTAGATTAATTGGAAATAAGAAATGTACATTCAGTCTGGGCGTGGTGGCTCATGGCTGTAATTCCAACACTTTGGGAGGCCAGGGTCAGAGAATCACTTGAGCTTGGACGTTCAAAACCAGCCTAGGCAACATAATGAGACCCTGTCTCTACGAAAAATTAAAATAGTAGCCAGGTGTGCACACCTCCCGCTACTTGTGAGGCCAAGGTGGGAGGGTTGTTTGAGCCCTGGAAGTTGAGTCTGCAGTGAGTTGTGATTGTGCCACTAGACTCCAGCCTGGGTGACAGAGCAAGATCCAGCCTCAAAAAAAAAAATGTACATTTAGTAAAAAAATTATTGGGATTAATGATTCAAGATGGGTAAGAATTCAAATGATTTCCTTTCATATAGGAAAGTTTTATGGACAAAAAGAGAGGATTTAAATTGACCTGTGACACTGGCTTTTTCTGTGACCTTACTAATATCCCAAAGAGCTTTAAGAAAATATTTTTAAATAATGCAAACTCATATGCCTTTCGACATTCCAGTCACCCAGGTGGCCAGGAGTTTAGGTAATGAATAATCAGAACGAAAATTGTTCTTAATTTGTTCAAATATAAAGATAATGATTTTTTTTTTTAAGCAAAAAAAAGAGCCACTTGCTGTATCTTGTCTTCTAACATTGTATCACACACCTGTTTTGAATCTTTGCATTGGCAAATATTATATTTATTCTTTCAAAGTATCTTGTAACTGCATAATCAGAATACAGGTGGACTTCAGTCATTGGTTTATACCTTTATTCTTTAGACAATATATAGTACCGAATATGTACCAGGCATTCCATTTGGCTTTGAAAAAATATAAATGAAAACACAGTCTCAAGGGCTTAAAGTCTATTTTTGACAATAGGTGAATAAATTACTAACAAGGATAGAATGTGGCTAAGATGTTAATGGAAATATGGACTAAGTGCTTTGGAGGCAGAGAGGAAGTATTGGATAATACATTCCTGAAAAGTTGAGAATTAACCAAAATTAAATCTGCCACCTTGGGACTAGGCTGGAATGGCAGCTGCAAGGTGAATGAACTGTCCTGACCCCGGCCTACTCTGGTACATTTACTGGTTTTCCTCTTTCCTGTAGACACCTTTACCTTGTTTGCTCAAGAATATTGTGCAACAGTGGACCTTCATGGTTTCCAAGTAGAAAAATGCTGTTTGACCACTGAGCAAATTCTTCTTGATTGCTTTGGATTAAGAATTGCTACTCTGGTGAAATTCAGCCAAAGTGGCATTCAGGATGCAAGATGTTTCGTTTGAACAGACCATAAATCAAAGCTGGGAGTGGGGGCTGCCTATACTCCCTGTTCTGAGGCCCTCTTGAGTCTGCGAATTCCATCACCTAATCCTTGCTTCCAGACCTCAACAGGTCTGTCTATTCCAAGCCCACGCTTCCCATTGCTTTCATTCTAAGGCTTTTCTAGGCCTGTTTAAAGAATGCAATGCAAACTTTTCATGGAATATTATGCAATTCTAACAGAAAGCCAGTAAAATTGTCGAATCTCATTGATTACCAAGCCATGTAGATGACTGGTCAGTTCGAATTGTCCATACTATGGTTTGAGTCTTCGTTTCTCCACCAAAATTCATGTTCGAACTTAATCCCTACTGTGGTGATATTAAGAGGTGTGGCCTTTGGGAGGTGATTAAGTCAGGTATGGCATTAGCACCTTATAAAATGACTCAGGGTTGGAGGGAGAACCCTCTTCCCATTCTTCCTCTTCTACCATGTGAGGATACTACATTATTCGCCTGGAGAGGATGCAGCAACAAGGCACCATCTTGAAAGCAGAGAGCAGTCCTCACCAGACACCAATTCTACTGGCTTCTTGATCTTGGACTCTCAGGCTCCAGAACCATGAGAAATAAACTTCTGTTCTTTATCAACTACCCCATCTCAGGCATTTTGTTGTAGCCAAACAAAAAATGGACTGAGGCAGTCTATTAAATTAAAAATAAATGAAATTTATTGATAAATTCCTGATAGAGTTTATTCCTCTTGGTACAGATATACAAAACACTGAGCAATGACTGAGAAATGAAAATCACTGTTGTCTCAGTGATGTTTCTCTTAGATGAGTGCACCTCTCAATCAGAGCTTAGGACTCTGCCTACACCTGCATTAACTCCCTGTGGGAAGTTAGTTAAGCGATTTTAACTTCTTCCTAGCTTAGATAATCCACTTATAGAAATACTTGAGAAAAACTATATGTTGAATTCTTGAAGAATCAGATGAAAGATGATACAAGAGTAGAGAAAACCCCATTTTTATTTCACTGAGATACAATATTATTTAGAAAATGATTAAAGTGATACATTAGGTTAGAGATTCCCAAATTTTTGACATCAGAAATTCTGTTTGGCTTTGTGAGATCTCTACATTTCTCTCCTTTCCAAGTATACACAAACTCCTATATATATATATACACTATATAAAAATATATATACAAAGGCACTATATGTAAATTGTATGTATAATTTTTATATAGTATGTTTCTAATGACAAAAGTGATACATGTTCATAGTAAGAAATTCAAATAGTACAGAAGGTTGAAAAGAGTGTGTACTTTTATCACAACAAACAATGTTTCAGCAAAAGTCCTTACCCATTGGATGCATTCCTGTACACAGAAATGATGGGTCAAAGAGCATGTGCATTTAAAATTCTAATAGATATTTGTCAAATTACCGCCAAAATTTTTGCACCACTTTATGCTCCCAAGAACAGTGGCTGTTTCCAGCCACCTTCCCCATCACTGGATATTATCAACTTTTTAAATTTTATCAATTTTTTTTGAGGTTAAAAAATTATATTTAATTGTGGTTTATTTATCTATCTATTTGTTTGTTTGTTTGTTGAGACAGAGTCTCACTCTGTCACCCAGACTGGAGTGCAGTGGCACAATCTCAGCTCACTGCAGCGTCTGCCTCCCAGGTTCAAGCAATTCTCCTGTCTCAGCCTCCCAAGTAGCTGGGACTATAGGGACATGCCACTGTGTCCCTATAATATTTTTGTAGGCTAATGCCTGGCTAATATTTTTGCATTTTTAATAGAGACAGGATTTCATCATATTGGCCACAATGGTCTTGATCTCCTGACCTTGTGATCTGTACACCTTGGTCTCCCAAAGTGCTGGGATTAAAGGCATAAGCCACCGCACCAAGCCAATGTGGTTTTAATTTGCATATATTTATGAGAGAAATTGAACAAAGTTTTACTTGTATTAAAGTCAATTTAATGTTTGACTTTAATAAAATTTCAGAGGAGAATTTTATAATACTTCTTTAAGAGATAACACTGAGATAGTCTCATAAGGGTAATCTACAAGGTACAGCTTTCAAACAAGCAAAAGAAGATTTGATATGGCCAGTGGAAAATAGGAAAGAAGAATAAATTAAAAGAAGCTATGGTAAATGGAAAACATGAAATCAAATGGCAGAAATATTTATTATGTATTCTATGATGATTATTGTATACCATTATATCTCATGTTATACATAATGTTATTAATAAAATGTCAGAATTAAAGCAGATAAAAAGACAGAAACTTTTAGCATTTTTTTATTAGTAGTAATAGCTTGTTCATAATTAATATTACTTATTACTTCCAAGAGAAATGTTTCTTAAAAGTATAGAAAGGTTGAAGTAATGAAAAAAGGTTACGCTAGTCAAATACAGATCAAAGAAAGATGAGACAGCAGTTTTAATATTTACATGTAATATAGTTAATCTAATATTAATACTGGAGAAAATAGAATTAAAAGTAAAAGAAATCATAGCTATATTGCTTACAAAAAGATGGATTACTTAGAAATGGTGTTGGCTCATTACATGAAGAATAATACATTTAGAGGCCTACTTCACACCATTAAAGAAAAAATGGGCTGAGCACAGTGGCTCATCCTTGTAATCCCAGCATTTTGGGAGGCTGAGGCAGGAGAATCATTTATGGCCAGGAGTTTGAGACCAACCTGAGCAACATAGTAAAACCTTATCTCTAAAAAAATTTAAAAATAATTTGGTGGCATGTGTCTTGTAGTCCCAGCTCTTCAGGAGGCTGAGATGGGAGGATCACTTGAGCCCAGAGTTGAGGCTGCAGTGAACCACGATCACACCACTACACTCCAGCCTGAGTGACACAACAAGACCTTGCCTCAAGACAAAAAAAAAAAAAAAGAATAATTAAAAATATAAAATTTTTTTTTTTTTTTGAGACAGAGTTTCATTTTTTGTTACCCAGGCTGGAGTGCAATGGCGCGATCTCAGCTCACCGCAACCTCCGCCTCCTGGGTTCAGGCAGTTCTCCTGCATCAGCCTCCTGAGTAGCTGGGATTACAGGCACGCGCCACCATGCCCAGCTAATTTTTTGTATTTTTAGTAGAGACGGGGTTTCACCATGTTGACCAGGATGGTCTCGACCTCTTGACCTCATGATCCACCCGCCTCGGCCTCCCCAAAGAATATAAAATTAACAGAAGAAAATGTTGGGGAATTTTTCCAAAAATCCCCCAAAAACATAAACCAGAAAAGTAAAAACTGACAGAGTCAATGAAATCAAAATGAAAGATTTTGGGTCAGTCAATAGAGTTTAATATTTACTAAGCAAAGTTGTTAATGAGCATTCATTAACCTAATCTTCCTAACACCCCTAAGAAGTCGAAGCTGTCATTACTATATTTAGCGGTGAGGAGTCAGGCACAAGTTGGCTAAATAGCTTGTCCAAGGTCACATCCATAGTTTAGGAGCTGAAGACAGAGCCCTTGGGTTTAACCACTACCCTACACTGCCGCTGGAAGACAACAGAGACAAATTAAACATGTGAGTGAGAGACTTGAGGGAAACATTTTAAACATCTATAACTTACACAAAAGAATATACAAGAAACCCTTGCAAACTGAGAAGGGAGGAGAAAGGAAAGCCTGTCAAACATAGCCAAAAGATACAAACAAGCAATTTATCAGAAGAGAAAACCCAAATAGCTAACTAGTACGTGAGCAGATGCTGAGCGTAGCTGGTAATGAACACATGCAAAGTTTTAAAAATACAGGTCTTACTGGCCTCAACCCAGAACCTCCCGATCCTTGCCTGCTGAATGAAGTGGTAAACGAGTGAGTACACACACTTTGAATAAGAGGAGCACACACTGGCCGCACACGCCGGCCGCTCTGTCTACCTGTGCCTCTACCTCAGCAAGGGGCACTGCTAAATCTCAAGCCCCCTTTGGACTTGAGTGTCTCCCATTGTAACATCTCCAGCTGGATGTGATTTCATTTTCTTCAACCCCTCAAAATTACGGCTTGTACCGCACTAGGGGCACTCAGCATATGCTGCCTCCCACTGTGGTCCTTTGTGTCTGTGTCCTACAGTTTGCCCCCTAAGGACAGAAACTAAGCCTCAGTCATCTAGAATTCTCTGGATTCCTTGCATAATGTTTTGTACATAACAGGAGCCCAATAAATATTTATTGAATTGAATTTCATGGAAGTGTGGTATGTTAAGCTCCCAGCGAGTAGTCAGGAAGCCAGGGGAGCTTTGAAAATGAAGAAAAATTAGGGGGAAAACATTGGACAAAGTTGGACTAGATCAGCACTTTCTGAAGTGTTCTCTATAGAATGCAAATACTATAAAATCCTACCTGAAGGGTCTTGGGTCAAATAATTTTGTGGAGCACCACATGATCTTCTCCCACCCACCCAATCCTTTTGGGGATCATGAGCAGTGATGTGCTGGAGCCGGCTTGTTCCAGCTTGCAAAAGTCAATTGTTAAACGTCTAGGAAGTTTCTGAGCCAATCGTTAAACACAGTCATTATTAAAACTGAAACTGCAGAAACTTCCAATTAAATAAACTCTATTAAAAAGTTAATGATTACCGAGAACAATACTTCTTAATTAATTGACTTTTACTGTTAGGTGTGCTGTTGTTTACATCTATTGCATCTGTCTTGTGGAAATACTGTGTAATGTATGCTGCCATGTATCTCTCCCCAGCCTCACAATCATTGATAGGTTGGTAGCTGGGAATCGGCTGTAGTGGGAATATTTACACCATAGAAAACAGCAGCTGCTGCAAAAGCAGGGCTTTTTACTCCAGAGAACTGGTCGTTAAGCATTAGCAGCATATTCCGAGTCCCAAACATGTCAGTCTGTTAGGTGGAGTGCAATGGCTCATGACTGTAACCCCAGCACTTTGCGAGGCCGAGGCAGGTGGATCACCTGAAGTCAGGAGTTCAAGACCAGCCTGGCCAGCATGGTGAAACCTGATCACTCCTAAAAATACAAAAATTAGCCAGGCATGGTGGTGGGTGCCTATAATCCCAGTTACTCGGGGGGCTGAGGCAGGAGAATCGCTTGAACCAAGAGGGCAGAAGTTGCAGTGAGCTGAGATGGCACCACTTCACTCCAGCCTGGGCAACAGAGCAAAACTCCATCTCAAAAAAAAAAAAGAAAGAAAGAAACTCCTGATAGCCCTATAGTAAACGCATGTGTTTAATTGTATAAGCAACTGTTCTGAACTTATCTGATCATGAAATTCTTTTAATGCGTAACATCTACCAACACCTTAAGACATATACTTTGGAAAAAACTGGGTTAGCTAATCGCTAAGGCCCTTTCTAGTTGTTGCAATATATGTAAATAACAAGCTTTCACATACAAACTTATCATCCTCATGTCTTAGATTCTCAATGTACTAAGAAGGTGGAGATGAGTTAATCGACCTCTTTAAAAACAAAGTCAAAATAAATTTAAAGGATTTTTACTTCCTGGGAATTATACTTGATTGATCTATGTCCCTCAGTTCCAAGCAATTTGATTAAGGGCAGAATATTATATAGAATGATTTTACTTACATTCGATTACTGAGCAAGGAAATCAATGTCTCTAAATGTCATTTCTTCATCTGTAAAATAATAATTATAGGATTTTTGAGAAAGCAGCCCAAGACTATGCATGAAGAATTACTTGGCTTGCTGTCCAGGTTTTACAGATAAAAGGAAATATGATTCAGGTATTTCTCTCTGAAAGCAGTGTGATAAATACGGTTCATAAACAATCTTTAGCTTAGTTTGCCAAATCTCAGAAGCCTTCTCCCAAATGCCTGTAGCACACTGGATAAAGTCTTGGCTCAAACTCCAAAGTAACCTAACCATGCTCCACTGTGACAGCTCAAATGTGATTGCTAAGATGCCTCCTGGCTTTATGGCTCAGCTCACAGGAAACTGCAGTTATGTTTTCAAAAGATACAATCAAAGCCAGTCGTATCCAGACTGATAGTAAATGGGAATGAGGCCGGGTGGTCCCAGTGCAGATGGAATTTGTGGTAGGGTGTTTTCAAGAAGTGGCCCTTGTAATTGCAAGGCATTATGGTTCAGAGCCCACATGCAATTTGACTTGAGCCCAAGAGGTGATGTTTATCTCTCAGGTCAAATTAATGTGGCACAGATCCATTTCGGAATATTACTTTCATAGACATAGACATTTTCATTTTTGCTTAGGGTCTAGAAATGTTAACTTGCCTCTGAAGAGGTCACTTTCCGAAGGTGAGGATGAGGAGAGGGGAAGAAAGGAAGGAGGAAAACCCAGCTAGCTTGCTTTCTCTTTGATCCCTACACACATAAAAGAATGGCAGAATGCCCACACATGCTTCCTGCTTTTGCTGGCCAACACCCAAGGCTCTGGGGTCTGCAGCAAGGCCTGAGGGCCGCGCAGCTCCTCTGCTGCTGTTGCCTGCAGTGGTGATCTGAGTGTTTAACAACCAGGGCAGCAAAGGCTCCCACGGTCCAGGATGGGCACCAGCCAGGGCTCTGCAAACAGCATCCTGGAGGCCTAGCTTGGGCCAAGTGTCCCTGCAGAGGAAACTGGGTGCTTGGAGTGACAAGGGCCACCGGAAAAGGCTGAGGACAACATCAAACTACCAACACATGTGGACCTATTTCCATATTTTAGCAACCAACTTGAGCATACCCGAGCATACAGGCATGAATGTCAGCCTTGCCTGCCTGCACCCCACCTGAGAAGCAATATTTTTCAGGCTGAGCACAGTGGCTCACGGCTGTAATCCCAGCACTATGGCAGACCAAGGTGGGCGGATCACGAGGTCAAGAGATTGAGACCATCCTGGCCAACATGGTGGAACCCCATCTCTACTAAAAATACAAAAAAATTAGTTGGGCATAGTGGTGCGCACTTGTAATCCCAGCTACTCGGGAATCCGAGGCAGGAGAATCGCTTGAACCCGGGAGGCAGAGGTTGAGGTGAGCCAAGATCGCACCTCTGCACTCCAGCCTGGGTGACTGAGTGAGACGCCATCTCAAAAAAAAACAAAAAGTAAAATTTTTCTAATAACACATTATTCGATTTATTGACTCTGCCCATATAGACTAATCCAGGTATAGGCAGCTATGGGCTCACCAGAGTAGAGTAATAATGCAATGGCCAGCTATGTCTTGCTTAGGAATAAAAAGGGACACTGATATTTATCTACCACTCATTCATGCACCAGACATGGTGCTCAGTTTTTGTAATTATTAATCCTCAAAATAACCCTATTGGATAAGTATTACCACACTTACATTATAGATGGAGAAAATGATTAAGTATTATCACCTTTATATTACAGGTGGACCTTTATATAATAGATGGTCAAGTTACTAACCCAAATTCACACATCTAAAATTGGTAGAGCCAAAGTGTCTACATGGACCTGTCTGGCTATTTCTACTGTGCTAGACAGAGTAGTGGTTGGGCACAGGCTCTGAAGCCACATTGCCTAGATTTCGAGCCTATGTCTGCCACTTAGCCAGCTATGTGACCTTAGGGAAATTATTCAACATCTCTAGGCCTCAGTCTTTATATACATATACATATACATATATTAGAGACATCTATATATAAATATATATTAGAGTCATTGTCCAGCTGATAAGTCATGAAACAAAATAAAAGTAAAAACTGAGTTATCATGTCACAAAAGAGGCCAATATTGTCTTAAAATTATGTGTTTAAGGCTACGGTGAAAGCTGAAGAATGAATTTTTTGAGACAGAGTCTTGCTCTGTCATTCAGGCTGGAGTGCAGTGGTGCGATCTCGGCTCACTGCAGCCTCCGCCTCCCAGGTTCAAGTGATTCTCCTGCCTCAGCCTCCTGAGTAGCTGGGATTACAGGCGCACACCATCACACCTGGATAATTTTTGTATTTTTAGTAGAGACAGGGCTTCAGCATGTTGATCAAACTGGTCTCGAACTCCTGACCTTGTGATCCACCTGCCTTGGCCTCCCAAAATGCCCCCCAGCCCCCTTCCTATATTTAAAATGGAAATAACAATATTTTCCTCGGAGTTTTGTTGGAGGTTTAAATACACTGTGAAGTCCTTGGAACAGTCCTGCCATATAGTAATCACTCAATGAATGTTAGACTTTTCTTGTCCTTGCCTCTCTCAGGATGGCCACCCAAGCCCAGCCCATTTATGGCCCAGATCTCTCCAGGTCAATGGATCTCCCATCTCCTTGTTAATTTCACCTGCTTTCTGCTCCCAAGCCAAACACTGGACATCTAAGAAAATTGATTCTTCAGCTTTCAATGCAGCCTTAAATATATATTTTTTCAAGACAATATTGGGCTCTTTTGTGACCTGGTAACTCAATTTTCACTTCTATTTTCTTTAATGACTTACTTATCAGCCAGACAATGTCTCTAATACTAAGAAAGAGAGAACAATCAGAGGGATGCCCTGGGAGTATGGGGCCATGACTGGGGAAGGGCACTGCCTCATGAGATTTTTTAGAACTGAATGTTTTGACAGGTTTTATTACTATTTAGGTATCATGAGGCCAACAGATCAAGAGACAGTCACCATTGAAAAGATAGTTTGCTACTCACAGTTCCCAAGAGGAAGGGGCACCGCACCATAAAGGCCATACGGAGATGCCCATCAGGAGGCAGAGGGAGCGAAGAAACTACAGGCAAGAACTTTGACTATGGTTTCTGTGTGAAGGAACAAACAAGACAGAGTAAGCTGGTTGGGACCGGATGGCTTGAATTATTTAGGCAGCTCTGGGGAACAGGGTCTATTCCTAGGTGTCTAGTACCTGGGCCTGGGGGGATTAGGGCAGATGAGTAATGACCCCGAGTATGAGAGCCCAGCAAAGAAGGTGGTTGGGGGTGTGGACTCTAGGCTGGTTGGCTTGTATTTGAAAATTGTGCCCTTGGGCGAGTTATTTACTATTTCTAGGAATTGCTAGCCCTGAAAGGGGCAGTCCCTCCAGGGTACACAAGGCTCTGGATGTTAAAGCATTAGAATACAGAAAATAAAAGCCATGGTTCATCCACTGAAGTGCAGGGCACTGGGGTCCTATGGGAGAGGAAGGGGGACTCCAGAAAGGCACGTGCAAGTGAATGACCCCATCTACATAGAAGCACCTGAGTAGGTCTCTCCACCTGACTCCTGTCCTCCTCCCCTCCCTCTTAAGCCCCATCTCCAATGGGGGGCCCTCCGTGAACTGGTACTATCAGCCCTCCCTTCTCTGTAGTCTGTCTCATGCTGTGCCTGCCCACCTCTTCCCATCTTCTCCACAAATACCTGATTGTCGAGTCTCCAGGCTCCCCTGGTTGGGCCCTGAAAACCTTGCTTTTCAATCCTCACTTCCCGAGAACCCAGCAACTCTGTCACACTTAAACCCTTTTCCACCGGCTTATACAAACAGGCCTTTTACGGAATACCCACTGGCAGCAAAGACATATACAAAGCCACAATGGGGCACATTCAGCAGTCAAACATGAATTTCTGGGTGTGGGCTTACATCTCAATGGGCTTTGTAAAACAGTGATCTGTGCCCTCCTAAAAGGCCAGGGCCAGGGCAGAGTTCTGAAGCTAACCAGGCTCAGCTTTTGGGAAAATTGCCTAAATGCTTTCTGAGTATAGCTGAATACCACTGAGTCATCTCAGTGCCACACCAGCATGGTCAGAAGTGCTGGGGGCCACCAGGAAGGCAGTCACAGCCGCCCTGAGGGGCCATTTGTATTCCTCCCTTCGTGTGCTGACAAGCTATGTGTGAATCACTTGCAAAGTCACCTGGCGGAAGAACAGTGACTTAGGGTATGGGTGACAAGCAGGTTCTGTAGGTGGGCCTGTAGGAGGCCTGTCTGCTAGAAGCCAGCTGTACACGGTGACTAAAATGCAGCCAAGCTCCCCTCCCATTGACACATCGCAAACTACCACAAAGCGCGGCATCTAAAACCACCCGCTTTCCCAAATGAAGGTGGCATTCCAAAGTTCTGTTTTATGACTGGGGAGGTTTCTGGGAAATTCCTTCAGCAAGAAGCTTTAATTCTAGAAAGTTAAAGTGTACAGAAATGAGACAAACATGAGTGTACTGACACGATTGTTTTCTCATTGAGAAACCTTCCCATGTGAGGTATTTCAAACCACTTTTGATAAGGCAAAATTTCTTTCTATGTTACAAAAGACCTGATAAAAAAAGACCTGTCACAAAAATGGTAAAAGAATTGGCCTTTAAAATTCTGATGTTTTTAATAGTTTTCATCTCAGTACAGATACACAATATTTTCTTTGAAGTTTTATTTAAAAGCATGCATTTAAACACGTCTGCAGTAAAAAAGCCAAAATTGTCAGCAGTCATTACAATCAGACTTTTAGAATGGATTTTTTTTCTCCTGTTTCTCTCAGAGTATTTGTAAAATATGAAGTCCAAAAGCCTGAGCTTTTCTGAACATTACCACATAATTTCTGCTTCTCCTGAACACATTCACTTCCCCTCTGTGCCCTCTGCCCATGCCATTTAGCCTGCCAGGAAAGACCCCTCCCCTGCCTGCGTCAAGCTCCGACTCACTCCCTTGGTCAAGCCCTACGTCTCTGACCCTCACAGCCTGGAGTAATTGCTATCCCCTTCCAAAGCAGAGCAATTACTGCTGATGGGATGGCTTTGGCAACTAGCCCAGGATCCCCATGAAATGGCTCTTCCATTGCTCTCCATTAAAATGTCACTCAAACACTTTACTGCTGTTTGGTTTTCCCCTGAGTTACATCTTATCTCCCCAACTGGACTGCACCATTACTTTACTATTTTTTGTGTCCCTCAGAAAGCCCAGCAGAGTCACCCTAGAAGGTGATGTCATTACCGTGAGGTCTTGTTTCTGCCCTTGCACCCTTTCCCGTTTTCTGAGTCCACATGTGCTTTCATTAAATGCCAGATGCTTGACTTCTTTCTGGTAACCTGAAACTCTCAGTTCTGTTGGTTTGGAAGACGTGTCAACTGTGCTGCACACAACTTTCTTTGAAATGGGCGGATTAGAAGATTTGAGTAAACAAGTTCTTTCCTATCAATGACTTCAGAATGTATAGACCTGTATGTTATGTCTTCATCAGTTTTACCTCTCAAATAGGTGGGACTTATATTTCCATATCTGGTCGTCATCAAACTTTCTTGTGCAGCCAGGAAAACCAAAACCCTTCCATAGCTGTGATCCGGTGATGGCAAGTGGGATGCTATTGAGCTGCGAGGCTGAATTACCCCATCCACTTCACATCCAGAAACATTAGAGGGTTCAGCTAACTGCACTAATTTGAAGTACACCAGGGAGACTCAATCTGTGAGATGGTGAGAAAGATTTTTATTTTATTGCCAGAGTTGAAACCAGACCTGAGTGGTACTTAAAATTTCAGTTACATGAGGAGAGGGGTTTCTTTACATTTGAGAAGGGCTCTTACAGCTCTGAGTTGGAATAGGTTCAACAAAGGAGATCCATGAGCCCTGTGTTGGCGGCCTCTACTCATTATGAAACAGGGTGTTCCTCAGCAGCTTAAGAACAAACAAGCTTAAATCCCCACGCTCCTGGGTTTCACATGTGGGGGCAGTGCTGCAGCAGGCGTCCTGAGAGCAAATACTACAAGCCTCTCTCCACAGCACGCAGTGCCATATACAACGGAAAGGTTTCCTGTAAGGATGTTGAGGACTTCTCTAAGTTTCCTGTTCCCAATCTGGTGAGTCCTTCATCTCAGAAGAACCAAGGGCAGCCTCTTTGTTTGGAGAAGCCTCAAGAAGTCTCAGTGGCCATTACAGATGGGGGCCTTGGGGTTAGAGCACCACTCCTGGACACAAACACACTTTCAGTCCAACCCTGGGACCAGGAGAAATCGTGGAGCCAGCATCCCAGGCCTGACCCTCACAAGCCCTGGCCTGGAGCCTGCCTCAGACGGGGGACCCAAGCCACTCCGAATCTCCCCACAGCCATGTGTCTTAGCCAGTCTGGCTGCTGTAACAAAATGCCAGACACTGGGTGGTTTTAACAACTAATATTTGGTTTGCATTGTCTGGAGACTGGAAGTCTGAGATCAAAGTGCCAGCAGATTCAATTCTTCATGAGGGCTCTCCTGTCTTGCAGATGGATGGCCACCTTTCTGCCATGTCCCAATATGGTCTAGAGAAAGAGAGAAAGGAAGAAAGAACAAGAATACATGCTTCCACCTAACTCTTCTTAGAAGAGCACTAAGGGCCAGGCATGGTGGCTTATGCCTATAATCCCAGCACGTTGGGAGGCCGAGGTGGGAGGATCACGAGGTCAGGAAATTGAGATCATCCTGGCTAACACGGTGAAACTCCATCTTTACTAAAAATACAAAAAATTGGCCTGGCATGGTGGCACACGCCTGTAGTCCCAGCTACTTGGGAAGCTGAGGCAGGAGAATCGCTTGAACCCGGGAGGCAAAGGTTGCAGTGAGCCTGGGCAACAGAGTGAGATTGTCTCAAAAAAAAAAAAGCACTCATCAGTCCCTTCTTAGGGCCTTACCCTCATGATCTCACATGACTTCATCTAAACCTAAAGACTCCACTTTCAAATGCCATCATATCGGGGGTTAGGGCTCCAACATATGAATTTTGGAGGAACACATTCAGTTCATAACAGCATTCGAACTACGATACATGACAAGAATAGGTCAGTTGATGGTGGACCGCAGAACCAAAGTATCGTGAGGCAGAGTCGGGCCTGGAAAAGTTAAGTCCAGGACAAGCTGCAGTTGGAGCGGGGGAGGGGAGACAGGGAGCAGAATTGAAATCAATGAATCGAGATGGAGGCAAGAAAAAAGCCACACTCCAAATCAGGCTAAAGATTGTTCAGGGAAGAGCATGAGAATGCATTTCCACAACTGTGACTGCCGAAGTCCCTGGGACCTCCTGAAATCAGGCATCTCCTTCCAGCTCCAGCATGCACAAGGACAGACCCTGCCGGGCTCCTGTCCTGGGATGGTGGTGACTTAATTTTTAGATGTGTATTCCTGAATTCATCTAAGTCAAGGCTGACTGGTACAGCCACAGGGGACAGGTAACATCTCAAAGGCCCTCCCCAGCTGAGCAAGACAAGGGCAGATCCCTAGAGAAAGGGGCTGTTACAGGTTGAATTGTGCTCCGCAAAAAGTTATGTTGCATCTCAACTCTTGGAACCTGTGAATGTGACCTTATTTGGAAATAGCGTCTTTGCAGATATTTTTAAGATGTAAATTAAGATGACATCACACTGATGTGAGGGGGGCCTTTAATGCAAAATGACTGGTGTCCTTACAAGAAGAGAAGAGACAGAAGCACAGAGACACACAGGGAGAAAGTCGCGTGAAGCATGAGACAGACAGCGGAGTGATGCGGCTGCGAGCGGAGGACATTAAGGATTGCCGGCAGCCCCAGGGAACAGTTTCTCCCCTAGACCCTTCAGAGAGAGCATGGCCCTGTGGACACCTTGATTTCAGAATAAAGACGTGTTGTTTTAAGCCACAATTTTTGGTAATTTCTTACAACATTCCTAGGAAACTAGCACAGGGACTTGGGTGTTTGTTTGATTGATTTTTGAGACAGTCTTGCTCTGTTGCCAGGCTGGAGTGTAGTGGCACGATCTCAGCTCACTGCAACCTCTGCCTCCCGGGTTCAAAGGATTCCCCTGCCTCAGCCTCCCAAGTAGTTGAGCCTACCACGTGGTGCTCACTACCACGTGGTGGCTCACATCTGTAATCCTAGCACTTTGGGAGGCAGAGGCGGGCAGATCATGAGGTCAGGAGATTGAGACCATCCTGACCAACATGGTAAAACCCCATCTCTACTAAAATACAAAAAATTAGACTTAGATGTTTTTAGAGAGTGAATTCAGAAGAATCCCAGAACTCTAGGATTTGGCCAAAGAGGATGGATGTGAACAAGAGCGACAACTGGAGACTTTGCTTGTAGGGGTCTTGTGAAGATGTTCTCTGCCTGCCTGGGGCAGGGGACGCAGGAGGAAAAAGAAGGTAGAGGTTCCAATGCAATAACTCTCCATTTGAACTTATTGTCTCTCCCTCTACCAGTGCTCACTGAAGTTCCAGGATGTCCAGGGAGTGAATACTGACTATAATCAAAGAAGAAGAAGGAGGAAGGGAAAGAGGTGAGCAGGGCAGGGAGAAGCCTTTGCTCCAAGTATGTAAAAAGATTGCTTATGGTTCTTTTATTCAACCAAGATTTAGTGAATGCCTATAATGTGCTATGTCTTACACTCAGCACAGAGATTGCAAGGTTGAAAAGATGCAGTCCTTCCCCTTAAGCAGGTCGCCTCCTGGGTAAGGTGATGGGTAAGTCTATCCAGCAAATGTGTTATAATAGAGCAAATGCAAGTGCAGCCCTTGCAGCTACAAGGGGCTACTCTTTGGTGCTGAAGTTTGCAGGGTAGACTCTATGGAAGGAAAAAGTAAGCTGAGTCCTAAGGGAGCTGTGGAAGTCAGTCAGCCTGCCAGATTGCTCAGTTGGAGGGTAGGACATTGGACCTACACATGGAAAGGAAGACAGCAAAGACTGCAGCCCATGGAAAAACCTGGAACCTCATACAAGCATCTCAGATTCTGTCTCTGAGCTTTCTCAAAGTCCTCGCTTTGCTGAAAGAGGCTCTGATAATCCTGCTCTTTGTGTGTTCCAACTCGGTGAGGGACCCCTCTGCAAAGGCCATGCCTCTGAAGTTGCTAATCAGTGATTTTGTTTTACAAAGTTTTGCACCTCTTTCTTAGATTTCATCACTCCATGGAAAGGAGCCCCACTTTCCAATGCTCTTAAACAGTATTTGCCTAGCCAGCTTTTACCTGTTCACAATTTCTTCCTTTTCATGAATGCTGAAATGGAGATTCTGACGGTGCCTTGGACTGGTTCTGATAAATGTTCCCATATAAGAGTTTTCAAACATGGAAAGGCTCTTTAGAGACTGCTCTAAAATAATATTACATTAGAAGTTCTTCTCTTCAGACTGCTATAGGTCCATTTTGAGAAGCCAAAATTTATTAAGTGCCTTTGGTATGGCTGGGATAACAAATTTGTACTTCTCTGTCCCCATTCTGTCACCCAGGCCAGGGATATCTCAGGCAGTGCCCCAAGGTTTGAGAGTGCCCTCTGTTCTCCTTGGCAGCATATTCTGATGTTTTGTGCCTTTCCTGTATCTGGTTAGGTATATTTACGAATCATAGTACCTTAGTTCAACTAAATAAATCACCTCAAAATAGACAAGAAAGTTGAACAGACTGAAGACAATGAATAATGCAACATCGAGTCAACACCAAAAGGAGAACAGAGCTGCCACTCCCACCTGTTACTTGAACTCTTCATCAGCTAAAAACCAATCGTCCACAACAAGAAAGATACAAATACTAATAATATTTTTGTAGGAGGATTATCATAGAATAAGCTTGGGTTTGTTTTATAACAATATTTTAATGTTAAAATGAATCATATTCATATTTGAATATATTTATCAAGCAAACTTAGAGAATTCTCTGCTAAACAATTAATAGATCTGTTTTCTATTGTTACTATAACAAACTATCACAAACTCCGTGGCTTAGAACAATACAAATGTATTATCTTACTGTTCTGGAGGCCAGAAAGCATAGCATCAAAGTGTCCGCAGGTTGTATTCATTGTGCAGTTTCCAGGGAAAAATTATTTCTTTGCCTTTTCCATTTCTAGAGGTCACCTACATCCCTGGCCTGTGGCCTTTTTCTCCATCTTCAAAGCCAGCAATGTGGGATCTTCAGATCTTTCTCTCTGACTTTACCTCCTGCTTCTGTGGTCACATCTCCTCTGACTCTGACCCTCTCTCGTCCCTCTTATAAGGACCCTGTGATTACATTGGAGCCCTCCAGATAATGCAGGATAATCTCCTGCTTTGAGCAGGAGAGAAATGTGAGCTGCCTTTGCATCTGTAGGAGCCTCTATTGTTGCTGTAGAAAATTACCAAATGCAGTGTCCAAAACAGCACAAATTTATTCTTTTACAGTTCTGGAGGTCAGAAGCACAAAATGAGTCCTACAGTCAAGGTATATTAGGAATATATATATATGAATTTATTAAGTATTAACTCACATGATCACAAGATCCCGCAGTAGGCCATCTGCAGGCTGAGGAGAGCCAGTCTGATTTCCAAAACTGAAGAACTTGGAGTCTGATGTTCAAGGATAGGAAGCATCCAGCACAGGAGAAAGATGTAGGCTGGGAGACTAGGCCAGTCTTCTCACATTTTTCTGCCTGCTTATATTCCAGCTGAGCTGGCAGCTGATTCGATTGTGTCCACCCAGATTAAGGATGGGTCTGCCTTTCCCAGCCCACTGACTCAAATGTTAATCTCCTTTGACAAGACCCTCACGGACACACCCAGGATCAATACTTTGTATCCCTTGGTGGAATCAAGTAGACACTCAGTATTAACCAACACAAGGTGTTGTCAGGGCTGCCTCCTTTTGCAGGTCCTAGGAAAGTATTCATGACCTTTCCTTTCCAGTTAGTGGAGGCTACCTGCGTTCCTTGGCTCATGGCCCCTTCTTCCATCTTCAGAGCTGACAGTGTTGCTACAGCTTCACATCTCTCTCTCTGACTGACCTCCTGCCACACTCCTCCACATTTAAAGGACCTTTGTGATTACACTGGGTTCACCTGGATAATCTAGGAAAATCTCTTTGTCTCAAAAACCCGTAATTTAATCATGTCTGCAGAGATCCCTTTGCCATATAAAGTATTAGGTTGGTGCAAAAGTAATTGTGGCTTTTGCCATTACTTTTAATTGCAAAACCCACAATTACTTTTGCACCAACCTAATAGCATATCACAGGTGCCTGAGATTAGACATCTTTGAGAGGCCATTAACCACAGGCTAAGTAGCACATATTTACACAGATACCTAAATGTCCCTCTCTTTACTACTATAAAAATAAAAGATTACCCTTAAGTTAGATCATAAAATGACAAAAATGGAACCTACTTTTCATATTTATTCTACTAATTTCACCCTTTAATCACTTATATAATGCCTTGGAAGAATAAATAATTACCTGATAACCTCAATGATTAAACAATCCTAATCAGTAACAAATGTTTATTGAGCCAGCAACAGAGTTTTGGGAATGTACCTTGCTTGGTTTTCCACACAGGAACCCGAGGAAGGGTGTAATCAGCACGGCACTGCCTTCACTTGGCAGTTTGCACTAGTGTTAGGTCACATAACAAAGGGTCAATTCAGAGGAGGAAAAAAAATCAGTCCAATTGCTTGTTTGACTTTCACATAGGCAAAACAACCATTTGACTGATGGAGTCTTTCATTTTCATGCAGTTATTTTAGTACCTTATAACTACAAGCTAAGTGTGCCATTTACATAAACATACAGGAGTCTGTTTACAGAGGTATCAAATGCTTTAATTCATCTGTGAAATCAACATTAACCACTCCCAACACTTATATTTACCTATGACACACCTAAGCCTCACCACCTCTCTACACTCCTGCCTCTCCCAACCTCCTGTTTTTTCCCTGTGAACCCTGCCTGGGCAGAGTTCTCCATCCAATTGGGTCTTTGTTATTTTAAGTTTTGTAACTCAACACATATTTCCCAAATGCCTATTATGTGCCAGGTACTGAGTTGGGTCCAAAAGCAAAAAAAAAGTGGCAGGATGCATAACGATGCCAATATTTTTTAGCAAGAGACTCTAATGGTCCTCTAGTAGTGTGGGGAGCTTGACAGACTAGACAATCTTTCTGGGAGCTCAAGGAGCAGTCCTTCGAGTAGCCTGCTCATAACGTTCTTGGTTAGGTCGAAGTGAGGTGGGCAGGCACCAGGACTCTGGAAAGCAGTACTAGATCTTACTGTGGTGTGTGAAACTGCACTTTACAAAAACATCTTGGAGATGCAGAGCTGATCACTGAGAATGCAGGCAGGCAAATTTGCAAAAGCTTCCCAGCATCTTTTCCTTTTTAAGGTTCTATTTTACTGGGAAGTTATCTAATAAGTTGAAGGGTCTTCACTGAAGTCTGTTGGTAGAAGAGAGCCCTAGGGTCCCAACAGCATCATGAAGGGATGAGGAGTTCGGACTGATGGTCCAGTCTCAACTCCAACACCAACTAGATAGAGGAAGGAGGTGGAGGGGACAGAGGTGGCATTCTGGCACAGTGTATAGCAGAGGCTGCAAATCCCTCCAGACACAGCCCTTCTCACACAGATTATGCTCTGGGATCATTTGGTTGGGTGTGTGAGCATAAACACATAAACTTTAAAAAAAATAAAACCCATGCAATTGGTGCCAAGACCTGGCAGATCTAAATGAGAAAGAGCATCTATCTGTAAAGCATTGAACAAATACACATTGGCCCACACAGGATGATTTTCACAGTGGTTCCACCAAAGAGCTAAAAATGAGTCATGGTACTCATAAACTGGGGCCTTCTGTAGACTAATCAGACTTCCCAGTTCTTTACCTACTGGCATTTAGAGACAAGACTAACCTCCTCGGACTGAAAAAGCCTCCAGAATGCTTAAGTAATTGTGGGAGTGAGAATAGGAAAGGGAAAAGAAAAATACAAATTTCCTATTAAAAGAGGGAAATGGCAGTTCAGCATGTCTCTAGAGAAATGAAATAAAAGATATGTGACTATATTTTACCCCAAGGTGGTAGCATGGATAATTCACGTCTGATTGTCAATCTAAAACTGAACAACACACTCCAGCAATTACCAGGATGATGGTTGTCGCTACCAGAACTCCTTAGGGCCAGGAAAGATAGTGACACATCTAAGGATAGGGAGGCAGAGTGGAGGAGGTGAGGTAGGCAGGGGAGGGAGAAGGGGGAGATGAGGCCGAAAAACACAGGGCTGGAGCAGGAAGACCTCCCATGTTCTAGGATTTGCAGAGTCCTTCTTTTCTTGCCATAAAGAAAGCCAGAAAGAGCTATTGGGCCAGAGCCATGGGTCATAGCTAGTGTCCATCAATGTGGCTAGTCTCTTATGGGTCATTTGCAGTTCTGGAAACCTCCAGGTAAATATTCATCCCCAAATCTCCCACTAGGAAAGTCTCCTGAGGGCATTTCCTTTTGGTTCTCAATTTAGCAAAGGACTAAAATACTAAATTTCCCTTATAAAAAGATACAGTAACACACCTAGTTCATGCTCAGTTAAAGTATAATAACGATGTATCGCATACTTCAAAATCACTTAGTCATTTTAAGTGTTCTTACCACCAAAAAAGGATAAATTTGTGAAATAAAGCATATGTTAAAATGGATTGATTTAGCCATTTCACAATGTATACAAATATCAAAACATGATGTTGTGCACCATATATATCAATTTTTATTTGTCAATAAATAAGTAAATGTCAATTACAGCGAACCCGCTTAAAATGGGGACCAAAATTTCACACTAAGTACAAAAACATTTTGATAAAAACTTAAATAAAACTAAAACTTATAAAAGATAAATTATGTCACATTCAAACAAATATAGGCTAAAATGTAATTATGCCTTAACTTTTGAAAACATAAATTGCATGAAGGATTTTTTGGAGGAGGGGATTATTATATTTTAAATACATTTCATTATAGCCTAAAATGACATAGTTCACTTGTCATTTATGTTTGGCTTTTGCAGTGGGGTCATAAAGAAAGGAGGCTGAGGTGGGCAGGTCACCTGAGGTCAAGAGTTTAAGACCAGCCTAGCCAACATGGTAAATCCCTGTCTTTACCAAAAATACAAAAACTTAGCTGGTCGTGGATGCGCTTGCCTGTAGTCCTAGCTACTCAAGAGGTTGGGGCTTGGGAATTGCTTAAACCTGGTAGGTGGATGTTGCAGTGAGCCAAGATCATGCCACTGCACTCTAGCCTGGGCAACAGAGCAAAACTCCATCTCAAAAAAAAAAAAAGTAATTAGAAAAACACTTCTAGGAAATCATTAATTTTCCCAGTGTGTTCCTTAATCCTTTGGTGACCAAATTATTTTCTGCCTATGGTTATGTCCTGCTGAAACTTTCCTAAATTTCCCTCCTTCAGCTGTTTATCAGGTTAACACTGCCAAACTCTCAATTGTCAACACACTGCATGTGATTCCAACAATTCTCCAACACTACTTTGATGGATTTTATAAATTCCTGGCTCTCAGGAGTTTGTACTTTATTGGTGAATGTTAACAACATCTGACCATCAGCAAGAGAAAAGCCACAAAATGCCTTGACTTGGTGAGTTGAGAAATACTCCAGCATTAAGCTGGAAGGGTTGTTTGTCTAAGGACTAATTTCCCAGTGGTCAGATCACTGGCGAAGTTTTCAGGCCTTGATGGTTTCTGCTTGCCTCCAACTTTGGTTTCCCTCTGCATCCTGCAACCTCATCACCGAAGGAACTCCTTTAATGAATATGGGAGTAGCAAGGACCCCCAAAAGTTTGAAATTCATAATGTGCTAGAAACGGAGTTCCTCATCTAGCCCCAAAGCCAATTTAGCTCCTAAAATACACAGACTCCTGTATATTGTCTCCTGTATATAGTCTTATACATAGACGAGTAGGATGACTTGTTTGCAACTTACCTCATCCTCATCTGGGAATGATTTTTATAAAAAATACATCCTGGGTTCAGAGCATACCAGGAACATACTTTCCCTTCTGGCCAGAAAGCAACAGCTGTAGCAGCAGCCTCCCGGGCACCAAGAAATCATGAACTCTACAAAGAATAAATGAGGACACTGATTATAAAATCCCTTGTAGCTCTAAAAGTTGTGGCAAGGTGACTGTATAGCAGCTGAAGATATCTCTCTGGAGGGGTCAATCCAAGTATTCTAAAGCGAGACCCATAATAATTGTTAGGAACTGACAGACCCCTCCTGCTCAGAGGTGACTGTGGACTCACTGCCTTCTTGACATTTATCCCTATGTAGTCTCACTGCCTGATTTCTTCAACTACATCATGGTTTATTTTTAGGCACTGGGAACATAAGCAATTGCTCATGGTTGGGACATAGTCTCCTTGATCTTTTGGTGAAGATTATCCATGCGTATAGATCATTTAAAGCAAGCAAACCAGGTTTATGGAAGCAGAAAAAACAGAAAAGGTATAGAGATACCACTTCCTTGAGCAGCCTCTGATGTGTGTGCAGTTTTATTTCTAATTATGACTAAAATCTACACTGTTTTCTCTTCTGTGGGGTTTGGATTTATTGCTGTAATACTAGGCAAAATATTTTTTCCATATTAATGCTGAAACTGCTATTCCTATCAGGGAGTATAATGTATTGTATCTGAAGATACTGGTAACCACTGAATTACACCTAAATGCTCATAGGTTTTTCACCATAAAATGTCAATGAACTTATTTTTGTTAAAAGCACTTAAGGCCCTATTGATAGAAATCAAATTCATATCATAACAAAAAAATCACAAAATGAATTCAAAACCCCAACAACGTTTACTTTAACATATACTTCAAAAATAAAAATATAAGGCAGGGTGCAGTGGCTCATTCATGTAATCCCAGCACTTTGGGAGGCCGAGGCGGGTGGATCACGAGGTCAACAGATCGAGACCATCCTGGTCAACATGGTGAAACCCCGTCTCTACTAAAAATACAAAAAATTAGCTGGGCATGGTGGCACGTGCCTGTAATCCCAGCTACTGAGGAGGCTGAGGCAGGAGAATTGCCTGATCCCAGGAGGCGGAGGTTGCGGTGAGCCGAGATCGCGCCATTGCACTCCAGCCTGGGTAACAAGAGCGAAACTCCGTCTCAAAAAAAAAAAAAAAAAAAGTTCAAGATCAGCCTGGCTAAGATGGTGAAACCCCATCTCTACTAAAAACTACAAAAAACTTAGCTGGGTGCAGTGGCAGGTGCCTGTAATCCCAGCTACGCAGGAGGCTGAGGCAGGAGAATCGCTTGAACCCGGGAGGCGGAGGTTGCGGTGAGCCGAGATTGCACAACTGCACTCCAGCCTGGACGACAGAAGCGAGACTCTGTCTCAAACGAAAAACAAACACACACAAAAAACAAATATATACATAAGCTCTGCTGGGAGACTCTGGAACTACCCTTCAGCCACAACCAACCAGAAAACTGGACAGAATATAGGAAACAACTGTTTTCAGAAATTGTACCACAAGCAGTTCAGGACTGTTCTTCCCGAGAGAAAGAAAACAGGCGAGGTGAGCCCCGCCATGGACAAGGCTTTCTGCCTGGAAGAACTTTCTGGACTTTAGTGCAAGATACTGGAATGCAGACAGAGCCCTGGAATTCTGCTGAGTTGAGGAGACAAAGATTCAACTTTAGGGAGTCCGAGGCAATTCTGAGGGGCAATAGCCTTGAGGAAAGTGTCCGGCAGAGAAAGAGCTGGGAAGCCCGCGCGGGAGTCGCGTGGAGTCCTCCGCCGAATGCCAGTCTGCGCATGTGCGAGGTAAAAACTCCTAAGGCCAGGCAAATCAACTTCTGCGGAAAGGACAGTCACCAGAGAACTGTACCCCGGCAATTCCCAGAGTTGACACAGGGCTGGCAATGGTTCTGTTTCTCATGAGGCAAAGTGGAAAGACCTCACTGAGTACGCAAGGCACTGAGGAGATGCTTGAGCAGAGCCAGTCCTTAGGCGAGGTTAGCCCTAAAGCGCAGAGATTAAGCCCAACTGTAAGTAACTTAGCTGCGTGCCATAAAACGCCTAACACCCTTTAAAAGAATGTGAAAAAACTCCCACCCTTAACAATGTAAAATGTGTAATGTCTGGTATTTGGTCAAAAAATTACCAGGCATGCAAAGAAGGAAAATATAACCCATAACCAGGAAAAACAATTAATCTATAGAAAGAAACTCAGAAATGGCAGAAAATGGTATTAGCAGTCAAGGATTTTAAAACGGCTAATACAAATATTATCGTCATGATCATGGTGGAGGAAAAATGTGAACATGATAGTGTAAGAAACTGAAAATATGGAAAAGACTCTAGGGAAAGTCTAGAGTTGAAAATATTATATTTGAAGAGAAAAAAAATATACTTCTTGGGATAAAAAGCATACAATACAGAAAAAACGTTTATTAAACTTGACCATAGCAATAGAAACTATGCAAAATGAGAAACAGAGAGAAAATTTTTTTTAATGAAACAGAATTATAGTGGCCTGTAGGACAATATACTTGATCTATATACATGTGATTAGGGTCCCAGGAAAGGACCAAGAAAGGTCCAAAAAAAAAAATTTGAAAAAAATGATTAAAATTTTTCCAAATTTAATGAAAAGTATAAACCACAGATGCAAGAAGCTCAAAGAATCACAAGAAACATAAAGAAGACTACACCAACACCATTATAATCAAATTGCTCAAAACCAGTGGTAAAGAGAGTACCTTAAAAGCAGCTGGAGAAAGAAAAACACACTATGTAAAGGAACAAGAATTAGAATGACCACAGACTTCTTGTTAGTAACAAAATTACAAGAGAATAGAATGTCTTCAGAGTACAAAAAGAAAAAAAGAACTATCATTTAGAATTCTAAATCTAGAGAAAATACCCTTCAAAATGAGGGCATGGCCAGGTGCAGTGGCTTATACCTATAATCCCAGCACTTTGGGAGGCCAAGGCAAGCATATTGCTTGAACCAGGAGTTCAAGACCAGCCTGGACAACATGGCAAAACCCGATCTCCACAAAAAAAATACAAAAGCTAGCGGGGCATATCAGAGTCCCAGCTACTCAGCAGGCTGAGGTGGAAGGAACGTTTGAGCCCAAGAGGCAGGCAGAGGTTGCAGTGAGCCAAGATTGTGCCACTGCACTTCAGACTGGGTGACACAACCAGATCCTGTCTCAAAAATAATACAAATAATAATAACAAATGAGGACAGAATAAGGATTTCTTTAAGACAAAAAAAAAAAATCCTGAGAGGTATTCACCAATCAGTGTTTTTCCCCTATTCCACTTGTGTTTTTTATTTCAATAGCTTTTGGGGGAATAGGTGGTATTTGGTTACATGGATAAATTCTTTAGTGGTTATTTCTGAGACTTCAGTGCACCTATCACCCGAGCAGGGTACACTGTACCCATTGTGTAGTATTTTATCCCTCAGCCAACCTTACCCTGAGTCCCCAAAGTCCATTGTATCATTCTTATGCCTTGGCGTTCTCATAGATTAGCTCCCACTTACAAATGAGAGTATACAATGTTTGGTTTTCCATTCTTGATTACTTCACTTAGCATATGGTTTCTAATTCCATCCAGGTTGTGGCAAATGCCATTATTTCATTCCTTTATATGGTTGAATTTTCATGGTATATATATAGAGCACATTTTTCTTATCCACTGGTTGATTGATAGGCATTTGGGCTAGTTCCATATTTTTGCAATTGAAAATTGTGCTGCTATAAACATGTGTGTGCAAGTGCCTCTTTCATAAAATGACTTCTTTTCTTCTGGGTAGATACCCAGTAGTGAGATTGCTTGATCAAATAGTAGATCTACTGTTAGTCCTGTAAGGAGTCTCCACACTGTTTTCCATAGTGCTTGTACTAGTTTACATTCCCACCAGCAATATAAAGTGTTACCTTTTCATCCCATCCATGCCAACATGTATTATTTTTTGATTTTTTAATCATGGCCATTCTTGCAGGAGTAAGGTGGTATCTCGTTGTGGTTTTTATTTGCATTTCCCTGATAACTAGTGATGTTGAGCATTTTTCATGTGTTTGTCAGCCATTTGTATATCTTCTTTTGAGAACTATCTATTCATGTCCTTATGTTTGATGAGATTTTTTTTTCTTGCTGATTTGTTTGAGTTCCTTATAGATTCTGGATATTAGTCCTTTGTCAGATGCACAGTTTGTGAAGATTTTCTCACATTTTGTGGGTTGTTTGTTTACTCCTCTGATTATATATTTTGCTGTGCAGAAGCTTTTTGGTTTAATTAAGTCCCAAGCATTTATCTTTGTTTTGGTTGCATTTGCTTTTGGGTTCTTGGTCACAAAGTCTTTGCCAAAGCCAGTATCTGGAAGAGTTTTTCTAATGTTATCTTCCATAATTTTTATGGTTTCGGGTCTCAGATTTAAGTCTTTAATCCGTCTTGAGCTGATTTTCAGACAAGGTGAGAGATGAGGATCCAGTTTCATTCTCATACATGAGATTTTTCAATTATCCCAGCACCATTTGTTGAATAAGGTGCCCTTTTCCCACTTTATGCTTTTGCTTGCTTTGTCAAAGATCAGTTGGTTGTAAGTATTTGGCTTTATTTCTGGGCTCTCTATTCTGTTCCATTGGTCTATGTGTCTATTTTTTATGACACTACCAAGGTGTTTTGATGACTATCGACTTGTAGTATAGTTTGAAGTCAGGTAATGTGATGGCCCTAGATTTATTCTTTTTGCTTCATCTTGAATTGGCTGTGTGGGCTCTTTGTTGGTTCTATATAAATTTTAGAATTGTTTTTTTCTAATTCTATGAAGGATGATAATGGTATTTTGATGGGAGCTGCATTAATTTTGTAGATTGCTTTGGGCAGTATGATCATTTTCACAATATTAATTCTACTCATCCATGAGCACAAAGGATGTGTTTCCCTTTGTTTGTGTCATCTGTGATTTCTTTCAGCAGTGTTTTGTAGTTTTCCTTGTAGAGGTCTTTCACCTCCTTGGTTAGGTATATTTCTAAGTATTTTATATTATTTTATTTTACAGCTATTGTAAAAGAGGTTGAGTTCTGTATT